ACATGAACTATAAATGAATATAATGTAATACTATATAAAATATGTACAATAAATTTATTTTCAGTATATTAATTTGCTTATAAAAAACCTTTGTAAGTTAAAAAAATTTTTGGTACGGGCCCCAAATTTTACAAATCCGGCTCTGAATATAATATTAGGTGGTTATAATATTTTGATAAAAACTGTTTATAATCTGAATTGAAAATTCATTGCTAATATTATATGATCTTATAGAATCACAAACCTAAGTAAACTCAATCAAGTAATAATTTAGTTTAATATAGATTTAACTAAGATTGGGGTTTTGATGTTTTATATTTATAAGATAAAAGAAAATTATATATATTCACCTTCATGAATTTAGAATCCGTGATTGACTTAAAGTTCATTATCTATAATGATAATTAATTAATTATTAGCAATTCTTTGTGTCGTGTGTATGCATATATAATTATCGAAGTCACCATAGAAAATCCCTAACACTAATAACAAAAGAAGAGACAAAAAAGTTTGTCAAGATTTTGAGATTTGATATCGCCGATCGATCCAAATTGTGTATGTATAAATATTAGAGGTATGATGTTTGAAGTGTTAAAGATCTCGATTTGATTTATTCATTTTTTCGCTGTGAATAATCAGGTATATTCGAAATCCTAATATTTAAATTTAATTCAGTGTTTACATAAGATTCTAATCAAATAGAATTCATTGATTGTTTTATAAATTGTTATAAATTAGTATAAATTCATACAGTTGGAATTGAATGATAGTAAAGACCGAGTGAAACATAATGATAGTTGTAGTCAGGCAAACATAAACTCAAATATGAGAAGCGAGAACGTTTGTGTGAGATTCATTAAAACCGAGAGTATTTGAAATTCACAAAGTACACTTATAAGTTTTACCGAGTTGTAGTTATACAATATGATCAAAACAACGTTTATGATTTGTAACCGTGAAATCTTTAGCTTCTCACCATCTTGCGATTTCACAAGACCAATGTGATCTTATCCCCTATATATTAATTGAGAAACATTTAAAAAGATGTAACCTCAAGTTTGTAATAATTAAAGAGTAACTTTGCTTAGTTGTCAATCAATTAGCATACCAGTTAAACTGATGTGGCAGCTTTAGGTTCAATTGAAATTTGCTAGGGAAAAATAATTAGAGACGCATATAACGCATAACGCATGTAACATAGTTTACATGAATATATATATATCCCACGCTAATGAATGTTTCACAAAGGAAAATATACTCAAATGTTCCAGTTTACATTTGCGGACACATTAATACACGCCATAGAAGAAAAGGAAAATATACGATTTGATAACGATTTCCATATATTAACTATAACTTCATTCCTTTTAATTTATGGAAGTGTATATGTAAAATGGAAATTACTTTGTGACCAAGTTCAAACTTAATGGTAAAGGCAAGTGTATATGTAAAATGTAAAACTTAATATGTTCACTTGGGAATTTATGTTAAAATTAATATATGCAAATCGTAAATATTAATAGTAATTATGGAAGACCCCTTACCTATTAATACTATCATCTACTATTTCATTCGACCTAATAAGGCAGAAGAAAAAAAATTCTTCCCATGAGTGTAAATCAAAAAACAAGAGTTTATTACTAAACTATTAATATTTACATTTGATTTGGAGTTATTATTTTTAATATAATAACTCCAAATTTTTTTTACTGTTTGAAAATTTTATTATTAAAAATTCAATAATCATAAAATCATATGAGTACGAAATCTTATTTAATAGATAATCATTTTAGAATATACTTTATGTATCTTAATGTCATTGAAATATAATTATATACCATAAAATAGGTACATATGATTGTTTTGATTTTTTTCTTATTAAATTATTATAAATAAAAAAGTGATTATTTTTTTTTTGTGTATGTGTCAATTTAATTATGTATATAATAGTTACTTGCTTTTCAATTATTCAATATATGCTAATTATTATTACTTATAATATGTAAAAATGTAAAATAAATAATAATGTACATAAAAAAAATTGTATAAAATGTTTATCCTGCGCAAGGTGCGGGTCTTAACCTAGGATAACTATTTTATCATCCATTAATAAGACCTTTTTAATTTAATTACAACTTGAATAATCAAATATAATACTAAAATATATATATAATACTAAACTATGTCTTATACACTCATGGGAGCTGTCTCCCATGAGTGTCATTCAATTAGGTAATCAATTACATTCAATTGAGAAATAAGTAGGTCCACATTCGATTTTTATATGTCGCTAGATATATTCTTTGGTCAAACTATATGATATGATGATATGATATGATATTTAGAATAAAAGCATTTATGACTGTTCCGCTAGATATAATTACTATTTTATTTTCTTTCCTTAAATAAAACCTACGAAATTACCATAAATGACTAATATATATATGATAATTAATGATTCTAATAGTAAATATTGATAACAATTTATATCTCCTCCATCATTTTTATTTATTTTATATTATTAAAATAAATTAAACAATCAAATTAGTTATAAAATTAACCTTTAGATTTTTTTCGTATATATTACATTTTGAATTTTACAAAACGAGAATAAGTGACTAAAACTATTAAAATTACTATGTTAAAAATTAATGATCAATAGTTGAACATTTTTATTATAAAAAGATACACATGATTTTTATACCATATGAGTAAAAAGTATCATTCAATAATATATATATATATATATAGATTAAACTATATACCATATAAGATTACATAAATATTTTAATTTCAAAAATATCAATGAATTTTCAAGAACATTTATAAATTATAAACTTATTAAATTTTTTACCTTGAAATTTTTTTTATCAATGATTTAAATATATTAGTTCTTTTTTTATAATTTTATATTATTAAAAGATATTAAACAATCAATAATATGTTTTTTTGTATATACCATACGAACTGAATGGATGTGATTTTATTAAAAATGTAGGATTTAGATATGGTTTGATTTATAACCGATTAAACTGAAACATATAAATATGTATATAGTTATAACGACACATGAATATATATTTGTTACATGAGTTGAACTATTATTACAATTTCTAAATCACTTGAACTATAATTAACTAACAATTTAGTGAGGTTTCTTATTTTCTTAATTTTTTTTTATCTTTTTGCTTCATTTTAATAGTAAATAAATCGAAATAATAATTATAAATTTGATGGACAACAATTAGTTGAAATTCTTTACAACTTTTTATCTTTAAATAAACAGAGTTTTGTTCAATCGAAAACATATTAATTTGATGAAAACATATGGAAGAATATAAAAACTTTTCTTTCATTTTGTTTTGTTTTTTATTTTTATTTTCAAATTTAGAACTTTGATATTAATTCCAGATTTCATCATTTTATTAGATGATAGAAGCCCTTTTTTATTCTTTTATTTAAATATATAATATTTTTTAATAAATGACTTTTTGACAATATAACTCTAAATATGATCATATTATATATTTGTATAATATATAATATGATCTCAAACTAAATAATTATGTTTTGTGGTATAAAACTGAATAAACTGAAAACCGATGGTATATAAACCAAATCGAATCCAAGTAAATATGGATTTAGAATATTAATTATATTTTAATAAATAAAATACCAAAAAATTGAACCTAACTAAAACCCGATATCTGGGTTGAACACCCCTAATCCAAATGAACCAAACTATTGTTTCATTTTTCAAAACATAATAAAAATAACAACTTCATCCCGCGCAAGGCGCGGATCTTATCCTAGTTACACTTATTATAATCTGATTTTGCTTATCATCAACTCTTTTGCTTATCTTCGATGACGATTATTATCTGACGAACACCAATTACGACATCAAATCACAATCCTAGTCTTCACTCAAGCTTTCTTTCGTATACTCTCTTCTTGTTTTGTGAAGCTGCCTCCACATCTCTAACGGCAAAGCGTACCATCCCAAGTCTATTTTCTTCCACATGAGCAGCTTTTGACTTCTTTAATTCTTGATGTCTATCAGAATCTCATCGGCACTTGGTCTCTAGAACTATGTACTAGAAAACCTGGGCCCTTTGCTGCAAAATCTCAGTGATAAATTAAGCAAAAACTCAAAACTATGACGACTTTTGAGATTGACAATGACCATGAACTATATAGTCTAGTAGTTAATTTGTATTAGTTGTTTCATCATTAAAAAATCAGTTTACGTAATGTATATAGTTCAAAAGAAAATATTCTATATAGTAGTTACACATGAAATAAGAAAATCTAACAAGGATCTTCGTTACATGACCCGGCAGCATCTTGAATACGTTTTTCCATCCCTGATCGTGTGTTACTACCGCTGTTCTTGCACTTAACGGCGTCGTTTTCTTTGTCATGCAGTCCGTGAAAACCAAAGAATCAAACCGAAACCAAACCAACGTATCTGAAACCGGACCAAATATCTTAATGGTTCCTATATTTCTATATCTAAAATAATTGAACCAAACCGAGAACCGAACTAGTACCCGAATATATACAAGTATAAATTATGTATGTAGAATATAATTTATATATATTTTTATAATTTATAAATTTCAAAAGTATCTGAAACTACTTTAAAGATAAATAAATTATTATAAAGTATCCAAACTATTCGAAAGTATAAAAAATTTTTTGTCCTAATTATTATCTTAAGTATCCAAATGAGAACCGGACTTTTTGGATACTTTCGGATTCTTAATTTTACTATCCAAACCAAATTGAACCGAACCTGAAACTATTTGAATTGAACCAAAATATATCAGATAGTAAATGGATCCTCTAAACCTCGACTGGATAACTGAAATACCCAAACCAATATCTGAAATGTCCAGGCCTAGTCTTTACTTAGGAACGCCGTTTCCTCTAAGATAAACCGTTGATGTTTTGGCTCGTTAGCGCTCGAATAGAATAGTGTACGACTTGATATCAGGCTCAAACCTCTTCTTTTTTAATTAGGATACAACAATAATATAAGTTCATCGAATATTGAAACCGTGGTTCTGGTCAGAACTACAAAATCTGGGAGAAGAGAACACACAAAATCTCTCCTTTCTCATCTCTTCTCGTATAAATACAGCGCCACTATTACCCAAAGAATGAACCTTACAGACACAAAAACAAATGTAATCTCGTGTCGTGTCCCGTGTATAATGCTTCCCCACCCTTCTAACTTTCACTTGCACTGATTAGTTTGTGAATTCAACTCATCAAGAAAATTAGTTATCGTCTCATCCAGCTTCTTAGCCTGAGGTCCAGCTTTAACCACGTTAACATCATCCCACTCCGAGCAAGGATCGTTCCACCAGCTACCGTGACTCGCGCACCAAGCTCCAGGAGTGACTCTGTAACGCCCACGTTTCAAAATCTCTCTATCAACCATATCAAGAACCGGATCATCTTTCTTGAACTGCCTAGCGAAAGCTGCTCCGCTCTGAGCCATCTGATCAAAGTCGGAGACGCTAAGGAAGTGTGGCTCCATCTTGGGAGGACTGTCCCATATCATGTAACGTAAGTCTCCGTTGACCGTGGTGTTACTGAACTCAGGGGCGTTGCAGATCACCGTGTGGAAGTAGCATTCTTCAGAGAGGATTACGTTGTTGAAATACATGAGAAGGATTCTTGGTAGATTCTCCCAACCGAAGATGCAGTATTCAAGAAAAGATCTGCTAAGTACAGTCCACGGCGAGCCTGCAACACATGCCAACTAGGTTAGAACAGAGTAACCACAGAGTTATTATTACTAGTGAATCTTTTTAACCTGTAAAGACTTTGAAAGCATCAGGTGCTGGTCGTTTCTCAGTAGCAGTGAAGAGCTGTGTTCTTCTAGCTAAGTAAAGAGCTGGATCAACAACAATAGGCTTGATTCTCTGAGACCTATAGAAAGATAACCATTAATCATAATAATCTTCCCCCAAAATGTAAATATTTATAAAAACATCTAAACTTACTCTTTCCAAGCAAGGTCACTAGTATGATCAATAAAATTAACGCTTCTATTCACCGATGCAAACACATGAGACAGGTCTGGAAACAAAACATGTCCGTTACTTCAAAAACTCAAAATCAAATAAAGACAAACATAACAACAAGTGGAGTGTAGATGTAATAAATATCAAAAAAAGCAAAGTGTCCTAATCAAATAACAAAAAAAAAAAAACATACCGTCTTGAGTAATAAGAGGATAATCCAAAGCACTAAGCTCAATAAACCAACTCCAAGACCCACCAAGCTTCAACAAAACCGACACAGCGTGTAACGTATTCGCCGTCTTAGAAGCACCATTCTCAGACAAACGATCAACTCTCCCCAACACATCAACGTTCCCGAAAGCACTCACAGCAGGAACAGACTTCACCTCCGAGAGAAGCCCCACCCTCTCTGCTTCAGTAGCATCAGCTCCCAAATGAAGAAGATACCGGTTCCTCGGGTGGTAAACCGCTAACAATAACCGGAAGATCCGGTCTTTGTCTCCACGACCGCCGGTTATGTAGTAAGCGAAGGAAGGAGGGTAGTGAGGGCCGTGACGGAGAGGGGAAGGGAAAGGGTTATTGGTGGAGGAGGTGAAGGCGGAGAGGGAGTAGAGTAAGAGGAGGAGGAAGACGGAGATGAATACTACGGAGAAGAGTGTGAATAGATATTTCTTCTCTGCTCCCATCGGTTATCAAGAAATCAGAGATGAGCTCATACGTTGGATCTTGAAGAGTCCCGGAGATTTTTGAGATCTCGGTTTGCCGGAGAGGAGAAGAAGAGAGAGACGTGAAGTACTTTGGAGGCGATGAAAGAAGACAAGGATTCTCTTCTTAGATCTCCGGTCGGTTGTGAATTTCTTTTTTTTTTTTTGTTATTAGTTGACACACGTTCTTTGATTAGCGCGTTTGATTCACGAATATTCAGTTAAAATGAAGATTATGGAATGAGTTTATTCACGCGTTGAGTAGAGAGAGTGGGGATTGAAAGTGGGTTAGGTGGTTAACCTGCTCGAGGAGGTTTACTTTAATTAAGTGTTTAATTGAAGAGTGGAGTGGTTTTAAATTTAATTATACATAAGATTGTGGATTTTTTCTGTCTCAACGCTCCTGAAAATAGTAGTTGGACCATCGTATTGTTTATAGTGTGCTAGTTCATTCTTACCCTTTTTGATTGTCAAAGCAAATTATTTAGACACAACTTCTTTAATTTGGAATTATTGTTGATACAAGTTTTTTTGCTGGAACTACTGTTGTTGTTACAAGGAGTTCACTTCATTTTCATTGCAATTCCTCCTCTTCCATGATACTAAGCTGCTTGCTTAAGTTCTCCACGATTCTCCACCAAATCGGGTGTAAATGATCTAGATATCTCAACCAAATCAATCTCGTGATGCATCTCCACGGTCGTTCTTGTCACTCACTGGTGAGATAAAAGGTGCGTTTCCAGATTTGGCAGGTTCAGCTGCAAGCCTGCAATCACTTTTCTCGTTCGATATTAGGACTACCACATTGGTTTCCACAGTTATTGAAAACCATATATAAAAAAATACATGCTTAGAAAAGGTTCGAATCAACAGTTAAATAATCCTGCTTAGTCTCATTTGATTGTAGATTGTTTTTTTTTTTTGAAACACTATTGTAGATTGATTATATCCTCTAACCAATACAGAACCAAACAGTCATAGCTAACTGGTAATTAGAACATAATAAATGAGAGAAAATTTTAAAATTGTCGGATGTTCTCGGAGGGACAATTTGACAAGTACTTGCAGGAGTGGTTTGCAAGTCGAGGCAGTAGAAATAGAAGATTTGACAAGTACTTGAATGGTTTGCAAGTTGATAAAGAAAGAAACACAAAAGATTCATTTTTAATTTTCTTAGCTTTATAGTAATCACAGTTTAAAAATGCCACATTCTTTGTAAAAGAGTTTTTTTTTTTTCAAATAAATTTAACATTCATTTGAAAAAAAGGAATTTAAAATTACTTTAACCAACCATAGGTATATGCAATGATGAGAACTACTTTAAATGAGAGACTAGCAATGATGAGAAGTAACTAATTTTTGAGAAAATAAAAGGACTAGTCAAAAGAGAAAAAAAAACACTCAGAAAAAAAACCCCTAGTTTCTCTCTGACACGGTTATCGAAGCTTCAAGTTCCCTTTGTTTTCCGACGCCGGTGGAGCTCATGCTCGCCGGCGTCGCCTTCTCCTTCATTTCTGTTAGCTCTCTGCGTATCTTCTTTTTCTTCGTGTTTTCTTCTCTAGTTAATCCTCGTCTTTCTTTTATTTCTTTAGTAATGGAATACCGGTTAGATCTACCTTTGCATTTGTGTCAAAAGCACACCGGTCGCCGCTTTCTCTCTTTTCCGGGCTTTAGGCGGTCAACTGCAGTAGAGGTTCATACCTCTTCAGTAGGTCGGCTTTGTTCCACCGGATCTGAACTTTTCTCGGGAATATCCCGAAGATCCTTAACAAGATTAACCATTTATCGCCGCTGTGCCTCACTTTTGGCCGACAAACAGCTCGTCGTTTCTATGGACGGTGGTAGCTCATTCTCCTCTATGATGGCAGCACTCAAATCGGACTTGATCTCTTTAAACTTCTCTCAGAGCAACTCCAACGTCTTCCACCATCGTATCCCCGCCGGCGGCGTTTCTTCAGGCAACCCACGGGTAAACCTAATGGGCCTATTGAATTTTATTTGGTACAATTATGGTATTATGGGTTTGGACCGTGAAACATACTTAATGGGCCTTGGTAGATTACCTAATCCGTTAATTGATCGAGGAGCCATAGCCTCCACTGAGTATGTTGACTTATATTTATTTGATAAAGAGAGTACTGTTCTTTCAATTACCTCCCACTGGGAGAGATTATACTTACCTTCCTCCCTTAGGGAGAGATCACTTTTATCATCCTATCTTTTGGTAGTGAAAAACATTCCCGCAACTTCCCTCTCCATGAGAGGTGAAATTTCTCCGGCGTTCAAGCCGGCATTGTGCTCCTCCTTGATGGAGCGAGTTGTGAAAAACTCAGCCTTTACGGCACTGGCTCTTGCCTTTCGAGCGTTTATGGACCATTCAATGGTCTTGGGTTTAAAGAAAGCGGTTTTCAATTCTGCCCTCCTCCAAATCTCATCTTATCGAAGTCTCGAGGACTGGATTTCATTAGTTGAAGATGCGGCGGCTGCTTGTGTTTTGTCTACAGCTTCAGACAATGGTTCTAGATCTCAGAACGTGTTCTCAGCTTCTCTCAACCTTGCCTCCCTAATTACCTCAAAGGAATTGATACACTGCTGTGTAATTCCTCTGATTCTATCAAGTTGTTTCATCTTCTATGTAGTAGTGTCAATGTGGTTGTCTTTTAATGTTGTCCGGTTCTGGAACAATTTCTCCTTTATGGAATGTAACCACTTTTAAGTTTAATGAAACTGTTGTGCACAAAAAAAAAAAGGACTAGTCAAAAGACAATTAGGAAACTCACATGCACTTCTGGAAGCAAACTTGTATACACTTTTGGGGATTTGGGCGGACCGCGGACGATCAACATGAGATCATTGATGCTCCACAGGCACTGCAGACGCAGCATACTCAGGTGTCGCAGTTGCTTGACAGCCCGATGCAATCTCTTCAAATTGAATCTTATTTCCTCATATCCAATGTTCAAGTTTGTGCTTCTTTAGTAGTATTCGACTCCAAGTGCCATTTTAGTTGAGCCATCGCGAACCTAAAAGGTTATACGATCATAGAGACCTGAATCAGCACTTCTGTTTTGGTCAGAAAGGTATAGTTCCTTAGAGCATCCCATCGGAGAGAAATTTAAAATGTATATGTAAATACAGGAATATTATTATTTAAGTACATTTTGATTAGATAATTAAATTTAAGTAATATTTGAAAAAGAAGACTAATAATATCATGGCAAAAAAAACAATTATATGAATTTTCAAAAACTGTGTGCAGAGAACTTCTAACACATTTTTTGCATATCTTTCTCATATTTTAATTTTTTTAATTGTATTATTTTGGTAGAATTTCGTCTAGAACTCCATCATTGGCCATGCTCTTATATATAATTTGATATACTTCTTTAGATATAGTAGTTTAGACATAATTCAAATATTTATGTTATGTCCGGTCCGGTTTGATACTTCTTAATTTGAGTCGGTTTCCATTTGATCCTTTGGATCCGTATTTTTTTCAAAGAAACCATTTTACTAGCTTGTTAATGGTATTATTTTATAGAGATCATGGTTAAAAAAGTCAAATAATATTTTTTTGTGTTGAAAACCTACAAGGCTACAAGTATTAATCTCACGAATTTAAATGGACCGTATGGGCCAGACTATATCGATTTTATGACAAAACTATTACTTTCCATGTCGTCATTCACCTCCAAAACAACCCAAAAAAAAATTCTGGAGATGATCCATGACTGGTTTATAAATTAAATAAAAAATTAAAATGTAGAAAGACGCATCAAGAAAATGAGATTCTCAAAGAATAAAAACATATTCTGAAAGCATCAAAAGCCTTTCTCCCTTCTTTTTAGGGGACACACCAAATCCAAAATTTAAATATTCACCATCCTAAACCCCTCACTCTCCCGATGAAGCGTATTGTCAGAATTTCATTCACCGACGCAAACGCCACCGATTCTTCTAGTAGCGAAGAAGACGCGGAGGCTCGTCCCCGTGGGAAACGCCACGTCAAGGAGATCGTAATCAACCCTCCAGACTCCGATAACAAAGCCTGCAAGACGCGGTTCAAGATCAAGACTCCACCGGAGTTTCTCAAAGAAACGACGGAGAAGAAGACAAAGAAGTTTCGTGGAGTGAGGCAGAGACGGTGGGGGAAATGGGCGGCTGAGATCAGGTGCGGACGAGGTCAGAAGGGACGACGTGAACGTGTTTGGCTGGGGACTTTCGACACAGCCGAAGAAGCTGCTCTCGCTTATGATAACGCCGCGATTCAGCTGATTGGTCCTCACGCGCCGACCAATTTCAGTTTTCCGGCGGAGAATCAAGAAGTCAAGAACGTGGACGGAGCTTCTGCTGACGTTGCTCGTGGCGCGTGAAGCGCGTTGGTTTATTTAGCTGATCGTGTTAATCTATGTTGTAGTGTAAATTAATCTTGTACTTGTTAAAAATCTCCTGATGATGTTTCTGATGTCATCATGTCCTTTGTCTGAATCTTTTTGTTGTCGTCACTGTATATATTTGTCCCATCTATTTGAATTCGGGTTTGGTCTTGTTAACCAAAACAAATCCAAATGATTTTGGTTAATTGATTATTTGTTAGAATCGACTTTACACTTCTTTGGACAATGCGTGAGGTGTGTATACCAAAAATTACTGTCTTTTTTTTTTTTTTTTGTCAATACCAAATGTTACCAATCAAAAACTATTAAAAAACTAGCGAGAAATAATAATAAAACATCAAAATATCGTTTCTAGTTCTCATCTGCTTCTAATTTATATACAAAGCTAATCAATCTATCTCAGTGAGGTTTGTGTATATATATATATTGATTTTCTTACTTCAAACAACATTTGTGTACAAACTGTTTTGGATAACATTTTGTGTGGAATGTGTTATAGATGAGTGAGGTTTGGGTGGGTCTGTAGTCTATAGACAAAGGAAATGTGGATCGACCGAAAAATAGAGAGGATGGATTGTGTGCAGAAAAGATGATGTTGATGAATGAATTGTGGACATAGAAACTTAAACTTGTGTAATAGTCAGTTTAAGATTGAAATCAAGAATCTTTGTAGCTGATTGGATATACATATGAACGTAGCATTCTTATGGATTAATCAAAACAAGTGATTTGTGGTCAGATGGTGACTCATGCCTAGCCTAGTAACCTGACATGTGTAGTTGTAGATGTATCTGGGTGGTGGGGGTGAAGGGTAGGTTTAGACGATATTAATGTGGACAAATTTTGTATGTATAAGCATTTTTGACGTGCATATGAACAAGGATACATGTGAACTGATACATGTAGAGGGGTGAACGTTGCCGTATACATGTGGACAACTAAATGTGGATGGTGATCTGCTTAGTGATTTGCTTATATTCTTTTCTTCTCAGTGAGTTTAAGATTTGGGATTTTTACAAGAACAGAAAAGGAGAAGGAGAATCAAACATGGGACACGAGCTCTAGCAACTGCATCATCATCAACAAAATCTAGACAAGTGAGCGAAACACTACAAAAAACCAGGAAGAAAAATTCACATTACAATGTGAATACTACTCAGAAGAAATTACAAAATTCATCCCCCAATAACCATTTGAAGGTCCTACCAATAGATTTTCAGACTTAACAAGCAAAGATAATAATAAAAACAAAAGTACTAACTAGATAGTTAGGAAAAACGCAGCCATAAGAGCATCTCCAATATAAAACTTCATTTTTTCCTCCAAAATGGAGTAAAAGAGAATATGGAGTAAAAATGCTCCAACCCCCACTCCATTTTTCCACTCCATAATGGAGTGATGAACAAACAAAAAACAAATTACTCCATTTATGGAGTAAATTTTATTATGGAGTGAGAAATGGAGTAGGGTTGGAGTGTTTTCTACTTCATATTCTCTTTTACTCCATTTTAGAGTAAAAATGGAGTTGAGTTGGAAATGCCCTAATACGAAGTCCACGAAAATCATTACTGTCCACAGACCTATAATTCATCCACACACTAAAACAAATCCAGGAAACTTTGGGCACAAATGTATACTTAAAAAAAAAAGAGAAGACTGATACACGTGGTTACTGAGCAAATTGAACCAGATTTTTCTTTTTTGTTGAACAAAATAATTAGTCTACCACGTCGCCACCATTAACTCCATACATTGAATTGAGGTATTAATTGCTTCACTAAACTTACACGTTCATACCTCGCGATAAGATTAAGAAATACAAAGGCTATCATTAGTGATGATTTTCTCACATTTTTCTATTAGCAACCTACGAATACTGCAGGCGGTCGAAGTCAACACCTCGTTTTCCGGAAGATGCCGCTAAGTTCCAAAAACAAACTTTAAAATGATGGAGACTGGAGTGACGAAACACGTGGTAAGGTAAAAACAAACAAATCTTCTTTTGATGTTCTCGATGATTATGAAAAATAACAAACAAATCTACGTACGTTTGATGATTGGTTCACACTTCACATGACAAACATGCAGAGTTATCTTATCCGTTTTTCTGTGCAGCGTCAGCCTATATATTAGTATACAGTTTGGCTTGGCTAGTGCGTTGGTTATGTGGACAAGCCAATGGATCTAAGCTTTAATGATGATGATTATTCCAAGTATTATTGATTATTCATCAAAGAAAAAGCGATGATGATCCTGATAGACTAGATCGACAAGTTGTCATTAGATTTCATATAATGGACAATGTTAGGGTGTTACTGTGTTAGCATTGAATCCTTCAAATATCTTCACTAAGAGCATCTCCAAAAAGAAACTCTATTTTGAAATTTCTCAAACTCTATATTTGAAGTTTCAAAATGTTATTCTCCAAAAGAAAAACTTCAAAACTAATTTCAAATTATTTGTATTTTACATTGTGGTTCCTTATATTTGTCACAATTAATGAAAATTCATAAAACTTTTATAAATAACTAACACATATATAAAATAATGCATTCATTTTCAATCAATTTAAGTAGTGATGATGGTAGATCATCTTTAATCAAAAAGTCAGCTTTAAAAGAAGTAAAAGAAGAAAATAAAACATTGGTAAAAAACGTAGCTTTTATCGGCTATATTAATACTCATGAGTACGAATGTGTTCTGAACAAAAAATAATTATGCGAAAAAGACGTCAAGAACAACAAGAACGGCCATCTTCGGTTACAAAAAACTTGTTTGAAATTGAAGATTTTGGAACTTCTGGAACATATTTACCAGATTATTAGTGTTGTTGTAATAATTAAATTTCTATAAGAATTATATCTTTATGTACCTTTTTAAAAAAATATTTTTAAATAAGTTTGTTTTGTAATATTCTTGTTGTCTAATTCTACTTTTAAAATAATATAAATCTTATTTTATTTTTTTTTATTTAATTTTATGTGTAAAGTTTAATTTATAGAAATAAATTTGAAGATTTGTGAGTTATAATTTTTTAAAGATTAAAATGATAAATAAGAAAATACTTAAGAATCACAAATAAAATATGTAAATATAAGGACCAAAATGTAAATTAAAAAATGAAATTTCAAATTTGAAGTTTTGAAATTTTTTTTGGAAAACAAAAAACTCTATATTTGAAGTTATAGAAAATCTTTTGGAGATTCTTTAAACTATGCACGTTCATCAGGATTGTCTCAAATAAATTTTAAATCATGTTAAAAAAAAATTAACGATAGATTTATGATTTAATGAAATATTTTTAAAAGTGAATAACTATATTTGATGTTTCTTTAAAAATTATAAGTTATAATCTAGCAATATATCTAATTTCTTACAAAAATTATAATAATTTATCTATATATTTCTTAATTTATTTTATTTTTTCCTTATTTTTTTTTTATTTTTTATTTTTATATTTGAGGCCATGTTTGACTGCCACTTACACATACACATGCTATTAGACGGTTATGATGTTCATACCTCGTGATTAGATTAAAAAAAATACAGAAAAGCTGTCATGAGATTATTTTCTAGTATTTTCTATTAGAAACCTACGAAAACTGCTTGGAAACGTTCAGACATGAATGTAAAAACTCCAATCATTATTAGAAACAGATGCTTTTTAGCTAATAAATCAACACAAATACTAGAATGATTACTACAGCGAAAGATACATAATGGAACATAGACAACCAACTCCATAGTGCTTAATTAACTTTGTAACCGCAAACAATTCTCGTGTCACCTCAGATATTTTATAAGGGAACACTATCTTCGAAAAATGATCTTGCTATACCCAAAAGACCAACACGCTTGCATCATCCAGAGTCGTGCCAAGAGTTTTTGCATCGTCAACAACAGTCATACATCGCCCGTAACGCTCCGACTTGGATGCACCATTTACTTGCTCTGGAGGCCCAGCATTAAAAAGTAGGTGAGATTTTTCTTTTGTAGTTTAGGATGGTGTCTACTGACATCACATTTTATTTTTGATTCATCTGTATTATCTACATTTCAATTTATACAACAGTGTTAAAAAAAAAACACAATAAAAAAAAGTTTAAAAATACGAAATTAAAATCTGATACCAGGAGAGGAGACGAAGTCCACGAAAAAGTATAATCGTCCAGAAACCTATAATCCATCCACGCAGGAAAACAAATCCAACTTTGAGCACAAATGTATATGCTTAAAAATACGAAATTAAAATCTGATACACTTAACAGAATATAGAAAAAGAACAATTTTTATTTTATGTTGTGAACCAAAATAATAACTTGTCTGCCCACTTCGCCGCCATAAACTCCGCACATTGAATTGATGCATCAATAACTTCACTAAACTATACACGTTCATACCTCGAGATTAGATTAAAAAAATACATAAAACCTGTCATTAGTGATTATTATCGACTCCTATAAGAAACCTACGAACAGTGCAGGCGGCCGAAGTCAACGCCTCGTTTTCAGGAGAAATATACGGCATTGCACTTGCACGCCGCTAAGTTCCACACAAAAAAAAAACCTTAAAATGATGTGGAGATTGGAGGAGACCAAACAGCTCTTCAAATCTGTGAAGAATACTGTACAAGATAAGGAGTGATGCAATGCAACATGTAGGAAGATAAACATAACAAAAAAAAGTGATGAAACACATGGTACGTTTAAAATAAACAAACAAAATCTTCTTTTGATGTTGTCCATGATTATGAAAGTCAAAATAACCACACAAATCTACTTACATATATGATTGGTTCACACTTCACATGACAAACATGCATATTATTAAAATAGATTTTACAAAGATTATTTGTTTTTGTTTTTCATTTAATGCATTGAAGAGAAAGATTCCAAAAAATTACATTCCACTATAAAAAGTAGGAAGATTATATTAAAAAGTTCCAACAAATCCTCGAAATCTCCAGAGAAACGGAAAAACAAGAAATGGATTCTGTGGAGAAAGTGATGCAGCGGCATCCTTACTTGTGGCGCCAACTTGAAGAAGATACAGAAGTTCAAAGCATTTAGGATTTGTTTTATTTTCTTAATGTTCGGTTTTTCCTTATTTTGTTAGGTTTTAGATTCCTTATCCCTCAAGGAAAGTCAAAAGGAATCTACTATA